AATCAGTGTTTTTGTGTCTTTTGGGTAGATACCTAGGAGTGGGATTGCTGGGTCGTAGGAAAGCTCCATGTTTAGCAGTTTGAGGAACCTCCAGTTTTCCACAGTGGTTGTACTAGTTTGCATTCCCTCTTCCCTGTTATTTTTTTTAAAGATTTATTCATTTATGCATACAGAACTGGGGTACAGGCCAGAGGTGCGGGGCAGTGAGCGGATTCACCAGAGACAGAGTGGGGAGCAGAACAGGCCAACTGAGGAAGTACACTGCTGAGGGGAGCAGCGGGCGGGTCAGGAGAGGTCTGCTGCGGCCATGTGGCTCACCTCTGGGGCGGGCAGGGATGAAACCCGTGTTGAAGTGACTTTACCTTCTTAGTGCTGTGCTTTAACCCACTGTGCCACCAGGGAGGGTCCTCTTCCCTGTTTTTTAAGGGATAACTTTCCTCTTTAAGGATTTATAAATAACTTCCCTCTTCACCTTATATGACCTTCACCTTTTCTGAGGTCTGCTTTCCATCCCCCCTAATTAGGTCTGTGACTCACCCACTCAAATGAGCTCCATGAGGGCAGTGTCTTTTTCACAGCATTTTAGTGACAGGTTACATACATTGTTCAGCATACACATACAGTGTTAACCTGTATACAACCTAGATAGACACTGATGTTCACACAGTGATGAAATGACCTAAGGACATATTTCTCAGAATCTGTTCCCATCATTAAGCAATATATGGATGTATTTTTTATTGGTTAAAACATACAACAACAACAAAAAAGCATATAACAACATTGAACATTTTAACCTTTTTTTTTTTAGATTTATTTATTCATTCATATAGAGCTGGAATATAGGCCAGAGGCTCAGGGGTGGTGAGAGGATTCACCTGAGACAGTGAGGGGAGCAGAACAGGCAGATTGACTAAGTACACTGCTGAGGGGAGCAGCGGGCAGGTCAGAAGAGGTCTGCCATGCCATGTGGATCTCCTCTGGGACTAGATAGGGATCGAACTCATGCTGAAGTGGCTTTAGCTTCTCAGTGCTGTGCTTTAACCCGCTGTGCCACCAGGGAGGGCCTCATTTTAACCATTTTTAAGTGTACAATATGGTGGCGTTGATTACATTAACATGTGCAGCCTCTATCCCCCAAAATTTTCCAGATAACCCCAAAAAGAGACTCCTACCCTATTCCCCAACCCCTGCCTTTATCTAATCTTAGTGGGAAAGCTAGGTTTTCATCATTAAATATGACATTCATTGTAGGTGTTTGGTAAATATTATCAAGTTCAGAAAGTACCCCTATATTCTTAGTTTACCAAAAGTTTTTATCATGAGTGGGTGTTAGATTTTGTGAAAACTTTTTCTGGGTCTGGTGTGTTCATTCCCTTTTTAGTCTACTGAGGAAATGGAATATGTGAATTGATTTTTGAATGTTGAAACAACTGGATTCCGTGAAAATTGTAACTCAGAGAGGTGTATTGTTTTTATGCATTAGGAGATTTGATTTACTAGTATTTTGTTGAGGATTTTTGGATCTATATTCATGAGAAGCATTGGTCTTTAGTTTTCTTATGCTGATGCATTTTTCTGATTTTGGCAGTAGGGTAACACTGGCCTCATAGAACGGATTAGGACATATTCCCTCTGATATAATCACTGGAAGTGATTATAGAGAGTTGGTATAGTTTCTTCTATAAATGTTTTATAGGATTCACAAGTGAATCTTCCTGGGCTGTATTATTATTATTTTTAATGTCATATTAAAAGTAAAACTGGTGGCACCTCCCTGGTGCTGCAACAGGCTATGAGGCAGCAGTGCAAGCTGGCCGCATACATTTCAGTGGAGTTCTATCCCCGCCCCAAGAGGTGACCACATGGCATGGCAGACCTCTCCTGATCTGTCCGCTGTTCCCCTCAGCAGTGTACTTTGACGATCTGCCTGTTCTGCTCCCTACTCTGTCTCTGGTGAATCCTCTCACCGGCCCTGCACCTCTGGCCTACACCCCAGTGCAGTATGCACAAATAAATCTTAAGACTGGTGTTACAAGACAAAAGTACAGTATTTGATATTGGCTTTCTATTTCCCATGTTTTTTTTTTTATACAAATTTGTGGCACTACTTATTACCCTTTCATTTCAACCTGAAGAACCTACCAGTGGTAAAGACTCCTCAGCTTTGTTTATTTGAGAATGTTTTATTCTTTCAACACCCTTCAGTTATTCCACTGCTTCTGACCTCCATAGTTTCTACTGAAACATCAGTTAACAACTTTATTGAGGATCATTTATAAATGATGAGTCACTTCTCTCTTACTACAGTCAAAATTCTGTCTTTGTTTCTTGACAGTTTGACTATAATATGTCATATCGTAGATCTGTTTGAATTTATCATAACTATCATAATGAAACAATATTTTGTATCAATATTTGCAGACTTGTTTTACATCAAATCTGGGAAGGTTTTGGACATAATTTTTTTACTCTACATATTTTTTAAAAATTAAATTTTTATTAAATTAATATAATCACATTGTTATTTAATAAAATAAATTTTATTGTGTATATTTTACATTGCTGTTTAATGTTTCATTTCTCCTTTTAGATGTAATCCCCATAAAATTCCCACCACCAAGTCTATCATGAACTATTACCCAAGTCTCTTCTTCCTGCTCTCCTGCTGAATATATCCAATTTATAGATTACCTGCTAGTTTTGTTTCTGTTTTCTCCGGATCCCTTGTTTGGTTACTCTATGTTCCTCCTATAAGTCAACCCATCCATATTTTTCCTTTTCCTTTTCACTTTTTTCACTGAATACAATCCCTTCTAGCTCCATCCATGTTGCTCAAATGACATGAGTTTACCTTTTTTAAAAAAATATTTATGCAGACAAGAGCTGGGGTTCAGACCAGAGGTGTGGGAGGTGAGATGCTTCACCAGAGACAGAGTGGGGAGCAGAATAGGTAGATTGATGAAGTACACTGCTGAGGGAAGCAGCGGGCGGGTCAGGAGAGGTCTGCTGTGCCATGTGGGTCACCTCCCCGGTTGGGGATTGAACTCGTGGTACAGTGGCTATGGATAGATTCTTAGTGTTACATCTTAACCCTTTGCACCACCATGGAGGCCTCAATTTCTAGTTTTATTAATATGGGCCACTCTCACTGGTCTGAGGTGGTATTTCATTGTGGTTTTGATTTGCATTTCCCTGATTCTAAGTGATATTGAACAGTTTTTCATATACCTTTTGGCCATTTGTGTTTCCTCTTTGGACAATATATTTTTAGCTCTTCTGCCCATTTTTTGACAGAATTTGTTTTTGTTCAGTCATATGAGCTCTTTGTAGATTTTTGAAATCAGTCCCTTATCAGTTGTATGGAATGCAAAAATTTTCTCCCTATCAGTAGGATGTCTCTATTTTGATTATTCTCTTTGGCTATACAAAAGCTGTTTAGTTTGATGTAGTCCCAGCTGTTTATCTTCACTTTCTTTGTTTCAGGGTCCCAGTCTCTGAAGACTTTTCTGAGAAATATGTCATGGAGTATTTTACCTATGTTTTCTTCTATATATTTTAAGGTGTCAGGTCTTTCTTATGTTTAAATCTTTTAACCATTTTCAGTTGATTTTTTGTGCATGGTGTCTTTTGCATTTGGTTTTCTCAGCATCGTTAATTGAACAAATTATCCTTGTTCCTTTGCATGTTTTTTGCTCCTTTGTCATAGATTAGTTGTCCATATATATGTGGCTTTATTTCAAGGTTTTTGATTCTATTCCATGGGTCTGTGTGTCATTTTTTGTTTTTGGGTTTTTGAGGTTTTTTGTGATTCCATATGAATTTTAGCATTATTTGTTCTATTTCTTTGATGAATGCCATTGAGATTTTTATCGTATTTGCATTGAATCTGTAAATTGCCTTTGGGAGGATGGCTGTTTTGATAATATTAATCCTTCTACTTTATGAACAGGGGATATCTTTCCATTTCTTTGTGCCTTCTATTTTTTTTTAACACTTTTATAATTTTATTTGTATAGGTCTTTAGCTTCCTTTGTTAGGTTTATTCCCAGTTATCTTTTTTTTTGGTAAAATTGTAAAAGTGGTGGTTTTTGATTTCTTCTTCAGACTATTTACATATAGGAAGGC